GAGGAAAGTGGCATTGTTACTGACTATAGCAGGAACACAAGCAATAGAAATATACAATACGTTTGAGTTCACGGAGGTGGGAGATAAAAACAAACTGAACAAAGTTCTGGAGCAGTTCGATGCATACTGTAGTCCGAAAAAGAACGAAGTATACGAGAGACATGTTTTTCGTTGCCGTGTTCAGCAGCAAGATGAATCGTTTGACTCATATATGACTGATCTGAGGCTGAAAGTGCAATCCTGTAACTATGGCGACATGCAGTCCTCCATACTGCGTGATCAGATAGTATTTGGAATACACAATAAAAAGGTGCGGGAACGCCTGCTAAGGGAGGACAGTCTGAAATTAGAAGATGCAATCAGAATGTGCAGAGCTAGCGAACAGACTGAGAAACAGATAAAGATTTTTGAGAAGCCATCTGTTACTACTGAAGCGCCAGGGGGCGTTGACAGGGTGGTCAGAGCTAGCGTACCTCGCTCAGAGGGGGAACGTTCTAATGCACGTGAAACAGGATCAGACTACGTCATGAACTGTAGAAGCTGCGGTGGGAAACATCGCTTCAGGCAATGCCCTGCATATGGGAAGGTTTGCTCGAGGTGCAGAAAAAAAAATCATTTTGCAAAAGTGTGCCTTTCTGCCAGAGAAAATAAACAAATTTATATGATGGAAGACAGCGAACAAGGCTATGATGATGATGACATTCTATACAGACACTGTCACTGTGGAAAATAAGGGCACTTCAAAGCTGCAAGTTAGTGTGAACACAATAAATGTAGACAGGTGGATTGTGCCACTTAAAGTAAATGGCACAGAGATTCACATGAAACTTGACACAGGAGCCATGGCAAATCTTATCACATTAAAAGACTTCAAAGCTCTGCGCCACAAGCCAGTTATAGAAAACAAAAAAGTGGGATTGAGAGCTTAAAATGGACAAATGATTGAAACACAGGGCGTCTGCAGATTACAAGTCCAGAACAAGCACATTAAGAGACATCTACTATTTGTGATAGTGCCGAAAGGGAAGGACTCCCTGCTGGGAGATCAAGCTTGTGAGGAAATGGGACTTGTTAAACGTGTTCTAAACATTGCCAAGACAGAGCTGAAAAATGCAGAAGTCACCACATCACAAGCAGACAACTGGGAAGTGCAGTATCCCAATATTTTTGATGGCATAGGGGTGCTGCCGTTCACATACAGCATTAAACTGAAGGATAATGCTAGACCTGTGGTGCATGCTCCACGTCGAATTCCTGTTCCACTGAGACAAGATCTTCGCAAAGAACTGGACAGAATGGTGGCATTAAATGTCATTCAACCCACCAAGGGAGCCACAGAGTGGGTCAACTCAATGGTCTGTGTGAGGAAGCCAAATGGAGCTCTCAGGATATGCATGGACCCAAAAGACCTCAATGAAAACATCCTCAGAGAACAATATCAAATTCCCAAGAGAGAAGAGATTCTGAGTGAGATGGCTGGGGCAAAGTGGTTCACAAAACTTGACGCGTCACATGGATTTTGGCAGTTGCAAATTGACAGTACAAGCGCAGACCTATGCACCTTCAACACGCCCTTTGGGCGCTACAGTTATCAGAGACTCCCCTTTGGAATTTCCTCAGCACCAGAAATTTTTCACTGTGCAATGGAGAATGTGTTTGAAGGACTGGAGGGGGTCAGGGTTTATATTGATGATGTCATAATATGGGCAGAGACCCAAGAACAGCTCAACAGCAGAGTGCATAGTGCACTTCAGAGAGTCCACAAGTACGGGCTCAGATTGAACAAGGAGAAATGCCAGTTCAGCACCCAAGAAGTCACGTTTCTTGGGGATCGACTGACACCGGCAGGAGTACAGCCGGACATGAACAAAATCAAAGCAGTGACTGACATGCCCGAGCCAACAGACAAGAAGGCGGTACAAAGAGCATTAGGGATGGTGAACTACATGGGAAGGTTTGTGCCTAATCTTGCCGCAAAGACTGTTGCTCTCCGCCAGCTCCTGCAGTCAAACACAGAGTGGTCCTGGCACCAGACACATGACAAAGAGTGGAAAGAAATCAAGGACATTTTAAGCACAGAGCCAGTGTTGGTTTTTTTTGATCCGAGTAAGAAGACACGAATCTCCACAGACGCCTCAAAAGATGGACTGGGGGCCGTCTTGCTGCAGTGTCATGATGGGGCTTGGAAACCAGTGGCTTATGCTGCACGATCCATGACAGAAACAGAACAAAGATACGCGCAGATAGAAAAAGAGTGTCTGGGGCTCGTCTTTGGCTGTGACAAGTTCCACTCTTATGTCTTTGGCTTGCCACACATTGAACTTGAGACTGATCACAAGCCACTCATAACTATCAGCAAAAAGCACTTGAATGAGATGACACCACGCATTCAGCGTATGATGATGCGTCTACAGAAGTATACCTATGAACTGTCATACAAGCCGGGGAAATACCTGGTAGTGGCTGATGCTCTGTCAAGGGCCAGACCAGCACAAGGACTGAACACAGACGGCACAGAGGAAGATGAAGACATAAGAGGCCACGTGGATGCTGTGGTGGAGGCTCTACCTGTGAGCTCTACACTGAAAGAGAAAATAGTAATGGAGACGGCAGTGGACCGCCAGCTCCAGAAAGTGATATGGCACATGCGAAATGAGTGGCCAAAGCAAGCGTGCCCGCAGTACTACTCATTCCAGGATGTGTTGGCAGTAGCTGATGGCCTGTTGCTGAAAGGTGATCAAATAGTCATCCCAACAAAGCTTCGGAAGGAGATCCTCCGAATACTGCATAGAGGGCACTTGGGCATAGAAAAAACAAGGAGACTAGCCAGACAGACTGTTTACTGGCCAGGCATGAATCGTGACATAGCAGAGATGATCAATGACTGTGCCACTTGCCTTACTTACCATAACAGACAGCAAAGAGAACCGCTGCTCACAGACATGAGGGCGGAGCACCCCTGGGAAAAAATTGGGACGGACCTGTTCCACTTCAGAGGCAGAGAGTATTTACTGATGATCGACTACTACTCCAACTATCCTGAGATGGCTTTGCTCACGAGCACAACAGCAACAGGAATAGTTAAGCATATGAAGTGTAGCTTCGCACGACATGGCATTCCAGGAACTGTCGTCTCGGACAATGGGCCTCAGTATGCCAGTCAGGAGTTCAAGCAGTTTGCCAGAGAGTATGGATTTGAACACATCACAGTAAGCCCACACTTTCCACAGGCAAATGGCAAAGCTGAAAAGGGTGTTCAGATAGTGAAAAGTCTTCTGACAAAGGCAACAGAGAATGGTGAGGATCCTTATTTGGCTCTGTTGGCTTATAGAGCAGCACCTCTGGAGAGTGGGAAGTCTCCGGCTGAACTGCTCATGGGCAGACGACTACAGACACAGATCCCAACAGTGAAGAAACAAGTCCACACACCTGTGCTGGAGGCCATGAAAAAATTAAAGAAAAAACAAAAGAGATACTTTGATCGCACAGCAAAAGCAATGCAACCTCTGCAGGCGGGTGACAGAGTCAGAGTTTTCAACACAGAAAGACAGGACTGGCAACGCTCTGGAACAGTGCTGAATGAAGTGGCTCCGAGGTCATATGCAGTCCAGACGGACACCGGGGCTCTGGTCAGACGAAACAGGGTGCAGCTACTTAAAACAAAGGCCAGCAATGCAGTTCCTTCAGTAGAGGAGTACAAGGACAAATGTGCAGAGCATGGAACAGCAACAAACAATCAGCCAGGGGTTTTAGATGACAATGCACCTGTCATGACGGAGCCAGAGGCAGCTCCAGCGAGACGGTCAGAGCGCATTAGAAAAGCCCCTGACAGACTTGATTTATAGCAGACGGCTTTAAGCTCATTATTACACAGTTGAGGTATAACAAGTTTATTTGTTAAAAAAAAAAAAAAAAAAAAAAAAAAAAAGTTAAATGTGTTGAGCCTCAGTTATCTGGTCATGAGTTCATCAGGTAATGTATAGCCTTATAGTTGAGTCATGTTCCATGCTTAGGTTAGGCTAAAGTAATCGTGACAAAGTCTGTCTTTCTTGAATGAGGCGAGTACTGGCAACCTCTGTGAAAAAATTATATATTTATGTTTCTGCTTAAAGAATGCACAGTGAATCTGTTTTTGTTTACTGAAAAAAGGGAGATGTAATGATATCTTGTGAGACACTTTTGGATCCTTAGAGGCCACCGTAGCAGCAAAGGGTAACGTCACGAAATGGTAATAAAGGCAGTTGAATACTTACCAGCTAATGTGTCAGTCGCATATCTGTACAATGACAATTGTTAAATAGTCATTTTCCTCAAAACACCTTTAGAGTGAACAAAGACAGGCAAAACTAATGTCCATTGCATTCCCATATTTACTTCTAAAGTCTTTTTTCTTTCTCACTAATATGGGGTTAGAACTGTTGCATTATTCCAAATAAATAGACTGAGATTCACAAATAATATATATTTTTCTTCAAGAAAATGTGCAATTTGTCAAAGATGAGTTAAGGGATAAAGTACAGGGGGATTTTAAATGGGATACAATAAAAATAGCTAGCTGTGTTAGCCAATCGCTATCAGTTTGTGAAATAGACTGAGGGTTTGCGACATTAACACTTTCTCAAACAAGCAGATGCAATGAGACCCATTTCCTGTTTGTTCATGTGACGGTCTGCATAAAGCCTATAGACGATTCATTGTCCCTTTTAAGAAGTAGCCTAGGGGAATAAAATTACAGATTTGTAATGCATTATTTTAAGTCATAAAAAAACAACCCTTTCTTTGACATCGGTCAATAAAAAAACCCCAGCTCATTACAAAGACGAAACAGCATTTTTAAATGGAAGGAAAAAAAAAGAGAAAAAACTAAAGCATGTAGATTTGATTTTTACAGCACTTTTTTTTTTTTGCTAAATAAATTCAACATGCAAAGACTTATTTAACATCCTTCACGTCACTGACATGCCTTTTAAAATGGTAAAAATGATTCAAACCAATTACTTAGCATTTACAATTTATTCATATTTGTAAATCATAAAGCAGCAGAAAAGCCTCAAAATAAACTGTATAGAGATTTTCCTCCCATAAATTAAACAGAGTGCATTACATTTCTGAGAAAATAAATAATCCAACAAAATAAAAGTCTCATGAGAGCTCAGCATCAGTCAACCATCCAAACTCATCTTGGCTGACATTTCAAATATTTTAGTAATATTAGTGATAAAAAACACAAATAGCGTGAATTGAATATCTTGAAGTCACAGACAAAGGCACTAAGACGAGAGTGTACTCGTTACCGCCGGCTGTTCTGAGCCGACCTGAACAATGTACATTGGTACGACACACTGTACGGTCATGTTGTTGAGATCAATGTCATCATCCGCTCCTGTCGCCATGGTGACATTTGGGGGAGCCAAGCTCACGCCCTCAGATAGAAAGGGATTCACCTCCAGGGCCTGAGGAGGAGAGCGAGGCGAACCACATCATGCAGAGAGATTTCAGAGGAAAAGGAAGAAATATAGGTTTTATGAGCAGAAAAATCAGCATATTAGAATGATTTCTAAAGGATCATGAGACTGAAGACCGGATTAATGATGCTTAAAATAAAGCCTTTGCATCATAGGAATACAAACTTCTCAAATATATTCAACTAGAAAACTGTAATAACATTTATATTTTACAATATTACCAGTGTTGGGGAAGCTACTCTGAAACTGTAGTTTGACAAGCTACAAAAGCAGTTAAGATACAGTCAAGTTACTCTTTTGAAAAAGTTAAACTAGCTTACAGTGACATGGTATATTACAAACAACTGAATAATTGTTAATGAAGAACGTTTGGAGTTTCTTTTTGATTGACAGATGCTTTGTCAAAGCAATGGCACAGCATCAGTAATATTTTAACTTCGTTATAAAAACTGTGGCAGATTAAACAGATTTTGGTCATAAAATCAGAGATATAGTGCATTAAAGCAGGACAATTCATTTTAAAAGGCTATGATTCACAGCAATGCACAGACTGTTTTTAATCTTTGGCTTGCATAAATTACATACGAAAGTGTAAACAATACTAGTCAATTCAGGTGTACTCTCAACTGTACAGCCTTTATATTTATAACTTGCTATAAAAAGTAGTTAGCTACTCACTGGAAAAGCTACACTGCTTTAACAGCGACATAGCTACTATTAAGCTACAGAAAAAATTACTTTAGTAGTATTGATACTTGCAGTTAGCTACTCCAAAATTGAATATATTACAGATTTGCTGTCTTTTTGATTTAAAGGGTTAGTTCACCCAAAAATGAAAATTAAGTCATTAATTACTCACCCCCATGCTGTACCAACCCCGTAAGACCTTCGTTCGTCTTCGGAACACAAATGAAGATATTTTTGATTAAATTTGAGAGCTGTATAACTACCACATTGGCTCCTAAGGGACTGCCTCTTGACGGCCCAGAAAGTCAATGAAGAAAATGTTTAAATATCCCAAGTGACTACCGTGGCTCAACTATATGTTTATCAAGCGACGCGAATACTTTTTGTGCGAAAAAACAAACAAAAATAACGAGTTTATTCGACTATTTCTTTTCTTCCTTGTAGGCCAGAACGAGAATTCCTTAGATTTCCACGACGCATGCGCGAGATTTGCGATTTGCTTACACCAGCTTTACACTACTTCAGATCGCAATTCTCGCGCATGCGTCGTGGAAATCTATAAGGAAGTCTCGTTCTGGCCTACAAGGAAGAAAAGAAATAGTCGAATAAACTCGTTATTTTTGTTTGTTTTTTCGCACAAAAAGTATTCGCGTCGCTTGATAAACATATAGTTGAGCCACGGTAGTCACTTGGGATATTTAAACATTTTCTTCATTGACTTTCTGGGCCGTCAAGAGGCAGTCCCTTAGGAGCCAATGTGGTAGTTATACAGCTCTCAAATTTAATCAAAAATATCTTCATTTGTGTTCCGAAGACGAACGAAGGTCTTACGGGGTTGGTACAGCATGGGGGTGAGTAATTAATGACTTAATTTTCATTTTTGGGTGAACTAACCCTTTAACATACACACACAGCCTTGGTGTTCAAGAGAGAGGGGAACAAAAACATCCAAACTTTTGAATGTTAGTGTGCCATCTGATTGAAAGCATTTACCTAAAACACATTTTACACACTTCTAGAACTGGAAAAAAAAATGTAAAAATTTTTTTTAAAAAAAGTGAACTCACATCCTCCATGCGCCAGAGATCAGAAAACTCACTCTCCATGCTTGAGTAGTTGATTCCAGTGTCCAGAAAAACATTTGTTTTCCCATTTCCCTGCCACACACACACGGCATTAAGTACTTTGCACTTCGGTTGACCATATTTTGATTACCAAAAATCAGGACACTCGGCCCAGCAAACAGATATTAAAATGATACTCGAAGTTTACTCAAAGATGCATTATTAATTTCAATTCATTTAAAGTAGTGTGTATATATATATATACAAAAATATACGTATACATATAGTTTGCTTCCTCTTTATCCTGTTTTTCTTCCTCATCCTCCTTGTTTGCCCATCTATATTTTGCTGTAGAGCTGATCTTTCCCAGCAGTTTTTAAAAACCAGGACATTTTCATCATTTTATAAAAATCAGACAGGACGTGAGAAAACATCACTGTTGGTCACCCTACTCGTACTGCATATGAATGCTCTTGTAATATCTTCTAGGAGAAAAAGGAATGGCATGGGGTTTGACTCACAGTGGCAGAGGTGTGATTGAGGACCGCTGAGAGGAGCCGGATGTACTCCGTAGCAGCTTTCAGCATGTCCACTTTACTCGGCTTTCGATCTTGTGGCATCACTGGCACAATACGGCGAAGGTACGAGAACATGCTGTTCAGGCTCCTCACCTGTAGAACAGCAGATGACACCATTAACAGGAAAAATTGCACAATGTTTTTACCTGAAACAAAAAAATAACACGAAAATGGAGCTGGGGAACAGGCTGGTCTCACAATGCTTTTGGGAAACACAGTCCTGATGAATACAATAGGGTGGATCAAAACCAGTATTTTGGTTTTTAAAGGAGGTTACCCAATAGTGCAAATTCCATCATTTACTCACCCTCCCCTCACAAAATCACACTGACTCACTCATTTCCACAACATCCTCCTTTTACAAAATATAATCACTTAATTTTAACACAAATTCTTTACTGTGGCCCAGCCTCGTAGTGAACGAACTTTAAGCAGGAGAACAGTGTTCTAGCAGAAGCAGGAAGGCTCTTATTACACTATCACTGACCCTGAGATTTAATAAAACTTAATAAAACTGGAAACTTGCGCCTAAGATAATTTTACTGCAGCAGGATGACAATCCATCACAAAGGATAAAATAAAACACCACAATCTTTATAAAAACCATTCAGCTCACAGTTTCCAAGTAGTTGTGCTCGCCTTGCACCCTAAAGTTTGATTAAAAACAAGTTAGTGTAGGCTACTGAACTATTATAGAGAGTCAGTGAAAAACAGAAAAGGAAATGAGGCTGAAAACAGGAAATGAAATGAGACTGAAAGGAATATTTTTTGACCGGTAGGCTTTTTAGTCAAGCTGTAAACGGAAACGTCATTAGGCTAACATTTTAGCATTACTTTGTGGAAGTCTGCCGATTTATTCGAGAAACGTTTAAAATGTAGTTTCCATCACAGAACGGCATCAAGTAAAACAGCTCCTTGACTTACAGAACTAACCAATGTAATATAAACATCGCCAAAAGATGGCAGCAATGTACAGATGCTGGACACAACGTAGTCTATTGCTTGCTGTCGTGAACTTTGCAAACACTCACCCGCAGTCGCTCCTTTGCGTTTGCAAGCTGTCGTCTCTTAACAGCTTTATCTCGGTCCTCCGTATCGAGGTACTGGCCGTCGTCCAAACGGACAAATTTACCAATATTCACGTGAACGGGAAGTGAAGGTTCAGAGCTCTCGCACAACAAAATATCGCCCATAAGCTCGCGCTCTGGGACTTTCATGAGACCCACTATGGCCCTAAACTTCTTGCCGGTCATTTCACCTGACATTCGTGTATTTTCTTTAAAATACTAAATGGGAAACTTGCTCAGCAGGCTTATAATCTAAAATAACATAAAGCTAATGATACGTTTTGAAAAAAAAAAAAGCTTTTTTAATTGTTCCTACTGTAGAATTTATTGGTCTAGAAGTTGGTCAAGTGACTCATTAAAAATCTAATTCAATTAATAGCACCTGTGCGACAGACTCCACCCTGTAGATTACGTGCTTTTCAGTCTTTACCGCTAGATGGCAGCAGTGCAGCGTCATATCTTTTAAATCTGCATGAAAAGATTGATGTGATTGAACTCAAGGTCTTACTCTGCTGCCAGTAATGTTGATATCCTGTATTAAAACAATTTTAATTGAATTGGAAAACTGGGATGGATAGTTAAAACTGGGATGGGAAGTTACTTCCAAAGCTATCTTACGACCAATTCATTCGAGTTAGTAAAATGTGACTGATTCGTATGAATTAATTCGTTTAGGTTTAGGGACGGGGTGAGCAAAAATAAGACCCTGTCACTGGCTGGCTTACGTCTTAGCTTCTCCTTTGTTTCAAACTTGAAACAAAAGTGTTTCAATTTCCATTGAACAACAACAGCAACAACAATGTACTGTAGCCTTGCCTATCTCTGAAAGCTGTTAATGCCTGTCAGGTCAAGTTTTGTAGCATAACAAATAGCAGATGGTACTGTATCTCCATAAACATTTCATCATCATTACTATTTTTTAGTTTTGTTGCATTTCTTCCCTTTAGAAGATAACCTAGTTCAGATCCATCCCCACTTCTTGACTCAAGGAAACTGTGTAACAAGTCACTGGTCATAAACATAATTCACTAAGAATAATTATACACATAGGCCTACACAAATATACTCATTACCCTGAGCGAGTGGCTTTGTGCTGAACACATACTGATTATCTTATCACCTTCTTTCTTTTGTAAGAAATCATCCTTTATGAACCAGTTAAGTGGAAATATACTGGTGAGTCATTTGTTTGCATTCGGACACTTTTTAAAAGAATATCATTTTTTCACAGAGAAGATGTATAAAAATGTGGATTAATCATTATCCACAAAATATTCCAAGCAAAAGTCAACAATAAATATCTAAACATCTTAGTGTGCTGAAGTCTGAAAATAATCCAATGTAAACATCCTGTTCCTCTTTATTACTTCCTTGTTATAATTATCATTTGCTACATTTATATAGCGCTTTTCTGTGTACTCGAATCGTTTTAACAATTTGTTAAAAGGATTAAACCACACCTAACTTTAGACTATGAATGGAAAACATAATGACAGAATGAATTCATTTGTTTGCTATTTGTTTGCATAGTAGCTAGGTGTCATTAGTGAGGAATGCTGAATGAAGCTTCATGTATCGAACCTTTGGGTGAAGCAATGGGCTGCGAGGTCTTGGTGGTTCAGGAAGCCTCATTTTGCCATCACTAAGAAGAAGTGTTATGAAAACATTCATCACAGAAGACTTTCATATGTTGCATTTATTTCAGCAAGTAAAGATACATTTACCCCAGTTTACAGCCTATTGTCTAATCAACCAATCAATCACATGACAGTTGCTTCAATGTATTTAGGGGTGTGGTCCTGGTCAAGACAATCTCCTGAACTCCAAACTGAATGTTAGAATAGGAAAGAAAGGTGATTTAAGCAATTTTGAGCGTGGCATTGTTGTTGGAGCCAGGCGGGCCGGTCTGCTCAGTTACTGGGATTTTTCCGCACAACCATTTCTAGGGTTTACAAAGAATGGTGTGAAGAGGGAAAAACATCCCGTATGCGGCAGTCCTGTGGGCGTGAATGCCTTGTTGATGTTTGAGGTCAGAGGAGAATGGGCTGACTGATTCAAGCTGATAGAAGAGCAACTTTGACTGAAATAACCACTCGTTACAACCGAGGTATGCAGCAAAGCATTTGTGAAGCCACAACACACACAACCTTGTGGCGGCGGATGGGCTACAACAGCAGAAGAGCTCACCAAAATTGGACAGTTGAAGACTGGAAAAATGTTGCCTGGTCTGATGAGTCTCGATTTCTGTTGAGACATTCAGATGGTAGAGTCAGAATTTGGCGTAAACAGAATGAGAACGTGGATCCATCATGCCTTGTTGACACTGTGCAGGCTGGTGGTGGTGGTGTAATGGTGTGGGGGATGTTTTCTTGGCACACTTTAGGCTCCTTAGTGCCAATTGGGCATCGTTTAAATGCCACGGTCTACCTGAGCATTGTTTCTGACCATGTCCATTCCTTTATGGCCACCATGTACCCATCCTCTGATGGCTACTTCCAGCAGGATAATGCACCATGTCACAAAGCTCGAATCATTTCAAATTGGTTTCTTGAACATGACAATTGAGTTCACTGTACTAAAATTGCCCCCACAGTCACCAGATCTTTGGGATGTGGTGGAATGGGACCTTTGTGCCCTGGATGTGCATCCCACAAATCTCCATCAACTGCAAGATGCTATCCTATCAATTTGGGCCAACATTTCTAAAGAATGCTTTCAAAACCTAGTTGAATCAATGCCACGTAGAATTAAGGCAGTTCTGAAGGAGAAATGGGGGTCAAACACAGTAATAATGGTGTTCCCAATAATCCTAGGTGAGCGTGTATATGTATATGCAACATTTTTAGCAGTGTGATATTACCATCGAGAAGAAATTACTAAATCAAAATACAACATTTATTCTTTAAGACAAAAATTGAAAACATCAAAAAGTGTGCTCACATTGTTCATTCATGAGACTATGTCCTCACAGTTATGATTTTGCCAACAACTGAGGCACAATCGTGGGTTTGGAATCTGATCAGCTGCTGTCTTACATTAATGTGCCTGTGGGATGTCAGGAACTCAATTCATGCTTATCTGATAACAGGCGACCAGCTCTCTCCAAACACATTCTGTGAATTCATAATAATACTAACCCACATTAGTAGGCAAAGTGGTGTTGCAGATATTTCAAAAGTGAGCTTTAGTGAAAGTGAAAGTACTGACAACACTAGTCACTTGAAGGACTGTTTTATTTTGTACAACACTTGTTGCTTTTTAGATTATTTATTTTTTTAAATCTCACTTTTAAAATACAGTGACATAATGCCGTCAAAGGATGCAATTAGAAATATTCTAATTAGAATTTGCCAACAAATACCATGACTGTTTTTTTAGACTGTAACATGGTTTTTAATAAAACATTTTTTAAACACATTTTCAGTGATTTCTGACCTTTAGAACTCTCTATAGTTCCTATCATGTCTGAGCTATATGGAAAACATCTTTTAGACTCCCAAATGTGTGGGGGATAAATGCAAAGTTTGAAGTCAAGGCACTGTTTTAATAAAGAAGTCATAATGTAACTACTGCTGTATTGTGTCAGACATGGAGACGTGCCAAGTTGCACATCTTTCAAGGTTGTGTCATACAGACCGAATGAAGTAATTCAGATGAAGAGCACTTACTCTTGCAGCAACCTAGACTCCTTTATTCCTAAATACATAAAACATCCTCCCATTATGTGGTTTAACCTGAGCTTTCACTGACAAATGATATAGAAGTAGGCTACAGTAAATTGCTATTTTATGTATTTTTTAATGCATGGCTTATGCATTAAATATATGCGTATAAAATATATATTAAGATATGACTAATGCATATCTTAATTTCTACCAGTTTGATCATCAAACTGGTAGAAATTAAGATATAAGTTAGCCGCCTACAGAAAATTGGATAAAAAAATAGAAAATTATCTTTTTATTATTTTAATTATTATACTGGTTGAGGGTCTGAATGAGGGGGGTCGCGTCCCGGAGTCTGCAAAGTTTGACACGCCTTCATTGTGGCCAATCAGCAGGAAGAATCTCAGTGACGTAAAACTCCTCAAATGACTAGTGTGAAGTGGGTGGAATAAATAGTGACATCACTTCGCATCATCATTGAACCGGATAGTGCAAGTCAAAGAAAGAGTTTTACAAACTTGAAGAACATGAGCTCGCACCCAAAGTGACTTTACAATCTGTTCAGCTCACATTCAACACACTTAAGACGTTTAAGACACCCCAAGCTGACAGAAGACGATGATCGCCTCTCATTTACTGGCATACTACTTCACTGAGCTTCATCATGACCACGTCCAGAAAGTAAGTAGCCTACAGCAGCCGGCTCGCGCTAAAAGCTGGCTTATCTCATATTATATATTGAATTAATCAGGCCGATGGATGTGTGACGATCATTATCGTTCAGTTACAATGTTCGTTTGTATGTTGGTTTGTTTTTATTGCAAGTCGTTTACATCCTTTCGCATCCACTACACGTGTGTGACAGCGAGGTCACTTTAACATCACTTATCATCACGATCCTAACTTTTATGACTTCAAGATCCTGTAGTTTATTGAATATTCCGTTAGGCCTATATTAAATTCCTATTCTAAATTCCCCCCACATCGTGTATTTCCCCTTACCGCACGAGTTGCTTGCGTCAGTCGCAAAACGTCAGTTTCCGCATTTTTTGGTGTATGAAGACCAGAGTGCGTCGTTTGGGAGCTGCTCCATAATAATGACATTAGAGATGATGTTCGTGTCCATGGGTGGCTATATTTTTAGTATATAACATAACCGTATGTCTGACGGTTTGAAATAATGGGCTATAAAATTGATAATAAAGTTAAAAATGATAATGGATAAACTAGCTGGGTGAGTTTTTGTGGCGCTTCCTGCCACGACGTACCTTTAACTGAGCGAGTGTTGCTCTGGTAACCTGAGACTCGAGCAGTACCGTGTTTCTGCTAGTCACGTGTGTCACCTCCTGGGCGCTCGACTTCATTGTGACAAAAGCACGCAGTGACTTCTGTGACCTTTGACAAGTAGCCTACTTACATTGTCATCCTGAAAAAAAAAAAGAATAAGAACTCACTGTGATTAAGTTCATTTGATGTGATGTCGTCCTCCATACTCCGTCAGAGCAACTCAGGAATTGACAAGATGTTTTCCAAGATATTGTCATCTACTCCTATACATGCCTTCATATAAATACATTGTGATATATATGCTAAAGCTTAAAGGGTT